AAAACCGTTTTTTGGCAAAAAAATATTGATTTGGTCAGTGAACCGTCGACCCAGAAAATGGTTTTGGGCCTTTTTTTATTTTTTTTATGTCAGAACAGGCCATCCGTTTGGACCAAACGGTCGGACCATTCAATACAGGAACCGGACTAGAAAGGTTCTTGGTCTGGTTTAAAAACCTTGCTTTCAAGCATGTTTCGTAACACACCCTGCCTCGTTCTATGATACAAGAATAGTAATAAACTAATAACAAGAACACTTACAAGTGGATGGGGGCCCATTTTGAGAGGGTTTGACTACTTGACACCCAACAACAAGGAAGATCAGTCAATTCATCTCAACATATCACTTTATAATAGCTTAGATTTGTTAATCTCAACGATTCAAACAAAGTTACTAACAATGTACTGAGATTTCAACTAATATTGGTCACTCAAGAGTCAAGATTTCGTGTTAGAAAATATGCAAAAGATCTTAATCATCAAAATGTCCTCTTGGGTTTAGACATCATCCAAATGATGTTACAAATCAACATATCCAAGTCATTAGAGTTGTCACCTAAGATCCATGAATCAAACGAAAACTTGGTACTTCATTTTTATTTGGTTTGGATTTTTATTTTTTATAAAATACTAGCAAACATGTACATGCATTTTCACGTGACAGCATGGTTCAAAGTAGCGATACGATACGCCCTATATCAAATGTATTGTATCGTATCTTTTGAAAATGATACAATCCGAAATGCCTGTTTCCAGGAGTTTCGGACCCCCAATTTTTTTTAATAATAAAAAACAAGTTATAAGCTTTCCAAAAAACAAGCTTTGATAAAAAAAAACTAAAAAAAAAGAGTTTTGACTGTTTCTAAGTGCTAATATGGTACGGCCAAAACTCATTTCGTATCGATACTTTGAACCTTGCATGACAGTATCTTTAAGACAAAACTACTTATAATTTATGGACCATTATAAGTGAACAGTTTGTGGACAGTTTCTAAAATGAGAGTAAATGACATATATGCCCTCTTTATGCCCATTGTATGTTTAGATAAGGAATATAGAAAACATATAGGCCCTATTTGCTTTTCGGTAAATTATTTACTCAGGTAAATGTAGTTACCCAGGTAAGTGTTTCCTAGAAAATACTTATCCAAGTAAGTGCATTTACCGATGTTCTTTTATTTCCCATATAAATAAGGCAATGACTATTTTAACCATAAAAATCCATTATTAAAATGAGCATTTTTGTCCCATTCAAGTGTTGCCAATTTTCTCCCCAGGTGGAAAAGTTATTTATCCACCTAAGAGATGGGTGATACCTAGGAAAATAAACTTTCCCTGGTCCCCACATAAATATAAAAAAAGAACATGGGATTTTTGGTCAATGGGAATCAAAATCCCATTTACCAACCTTCCCCCCTCTCAAAATCCATAAAAAGAATGCCCCTCTAATGAAAATTCCAAAAAGAAAGGACATTCGCTCTTTTTATAGATAATATAGATGTGATCGATGCTTTAGTAAAATGGCTGATATTAAGGCCCCATTCGCTTTTCGGTAAGTTACTTACCCGGATTAATGTACTTACCCGGATAAGTGTTTCACAGGAAAGACTTACCTAGGTAAGTGCATTTACCCATGTTCTTTTATTTCCCATGTAAAAAAGGCAATGACCATTTTAGCCATAAAAACCTATTATTAAAGGGGCATTTTTGTCCCATTCAAGTGTTAGCAATTTCCTCCAAAGTGGAAAAGTTATTTACCCACCTAGGAAATGGGTATCACTTAAGAAAATAAACTTTTCCTTGTTCCCACATAAATCTCAAAAAAAATAACATGGGATTCTTGGTCAATGGGAATCAAAATCCCATTGACCAACTTTCCCCCTCTCAAAATCCAAAAAAAAAGAACGCCCCCTAATTGAAATTATAGTGTGGTGCTCAGACATTTAATGTCAACGTTTTGCTCTTAGGAGACCATCTTTATAGCTTAGATTGATGTGTGAAATTGGTACAATTTTTAGATGGTAGTATATATTAATTGAATCTAGCATTTCGTTTGGGTGGTTGAGATTAATGCTGCCCGTATATTTGGGTTAATTTATGCACCATTTACTATACCACTGTCATGGCTTAGATTACTTGAAACCATTATACATTACTTTGAATTTTTAAGATTGGTTAACGGATCTTAAGGCATGAGTTCAATGGTCTAGATATTTAGTTACAAAGTCATTATTGAAAACTTTTGTTCTGGTGACGTTATATGGATAGAGAGCAAGTTTGTCTTATAAAGTGAGACAGTAAAATTTTAGGGTTCTAGAAATATCAGACTATGCACATGATGACATGGACATGGGTAGAGACTAGCTAGAGAGCAAGTTTGACATGGACTAAGGTAAAAAGAGGTTAAGTGCCACACACACAAAAATGGGGAGGGGGAGGGTTTAAGTGTCACACCTCTTTTGTATGGAGCCCATTTGCATAGCTAGAGCCTCTGTGTGAAAGCTATACCAAGCAGGCATATAATTTTGATGCTTGATGACGAATTAGGATCTACTCCTCACACAGAGTGCCTCACAACAACTTCACAGGTGTATCCCACTGTGTATTGGGAATATCTCTCGTACTTATGTGTTATTATTTACAGGAGATATTCCCAAGGCACGGTGGGATGTGCTTGTGAGATTGGTCTGAAGTGCCATATGTGAGTAGATCCGGTCCCGTTAGGGAATGGGATATGCTCCTCACACATGGGTGCCTCACATGCACATCTACCTGCATTGAGGGACATCTCTCGTGAATAATAACTTATAAGTACGGGACATGTTCCCAATGCATGATAGGATGTGCGTGTGAGGTCGATGTGAAGCGCCCTGTGTGAGGAGCAGATCCGGTCTCGGGAGTTAGTCCCCGCATCAAAACCCCCAACCCTAGTACTGATCTAAAGTCTCCGCTACAACTAAACATAAAATTTGCCGAATCACCCATCAGTTGGTGGAATGTAATGCATTTGAATATCAATGTAACACATACTAGTTCAGTGACACGTGTAAATGTATGCATAGAATGAGAGAAAAGAAGAGAGATGAATTAGAGGTGTAAATTTGGTCGTGCCACGGCCCGACACGATTTGTATGCTGACGGCCTGCCCGTGGCACAACATATTATATATAAATATATATAATATATTATCTAAATTATAATTATGTAATAATATATAGTATATAATATATTAACAAAATAAACAATTTTTTCAATTTTATTATACTGTTTTATTTAATTATTGTATATATAAGCAATTGTATACATCAAAATTCATATGAAATCAAGATTTAAATAAATGATTTTGGCCCGATCCATGGCTCGGCCTAGCCCACGGACCAACTCGGTCTGTGGCCCGATGTAGGCCCACGTGGGCCATGCCAGGCCGACCCCAAAATATCCTAGGGGAGGGAGGCATGACCCGAGACAACCTCGTTTTACACCTCTAGGATGAATAAAATGTAAAGACTAATGAGTGGAGGTCACGGATTAGGAATGGCAACGGGGCAGGGATCATATTCCCCGTCCCCTAACCCCAATTTTGAAATTAATCCCCATCCCCGTCCCCGATCTCCGTCGGTGATAAAATTTGTCCTCCATCTCGATCCTTGACGGGGATGGGTTCTTCGCGGGGACCCGAATCCCCGAAATGTTTTCAAATAACAATATTGTTTTTAAATAAATTTACTTAAAATTAATAAAAAATTTAAATATATTTTGATATATATAATATAAATAATATAATAGTATATTTAATATAAATAACATTTAATATATATATAATCGGGGTCGGGGTGGAGCAGGGACCTCAAGCCCCATCCCCAACCCCAATCCTGATTGGGGATTCCTATTAATCCCTGCCCCCCATCCCCACCCTGCCAAAACAATCCCCATCCTTGGTCCCATCAGGTCAGGGAAGTTGGATCTGAGTCGGGGATGGGGAAAATTGTTATCCCTATGGAGGATATGAATGAAAAAAAAAAGAGAATGACGAGGAAAAAGAAGTACATGGATAAAAAAATTGGTCCGGACATGAATCCAAGGCAAGTATTTGCATAATAGGTTTCATAAAAAAAATCACAAAAGGCACGTGCATCTCATGGGACATTAATAATAAAAGAAAAATACAAAGAAGCCCATTTTATTTACAAGTCTTTTGTGTGTGTGCTTTTTATATAGGGTAAAATACAAAAACTTCCCCTGAAGTTTCTGACAATCATAAAAACCTTCACTATAGTTTTATTTTAATAAATACCTCTCTTGAATTTTATAAAATTTCGACAAAAGCCTATTTTCCGTCACTGTCCTAGATAGAAAACGTTAGACTGATGCACCCATTTTTTCTAAATACCTATAATACCCTTTTATAAATTATTTCACATACAAAATTACTGAAGCAATTATATTTTAACTCAACAAAAATACACGTTTCAGTAATTTTGTATGTAAAATTATTGAGATGATCGTTAAAGGAGGTTTTTGTTGAGTTAAAAATAAGGTTATTTTAATAATTTTGTATATAAAAGGGCAAAATAAGAATTAAAAAAAAACTAGCGCATCAATTTAACATTTTCCGTCTAGAAAGGTGATGAAAGGGAGGTTTTTATTAAGTTTTTCAAAGGTTCAAAGTACGTATTTATTAAAATAAAAGTATAAGAGAGATTTTTATGATTGCATACGGCCTACTAAAAATTTATTCCATTGATATTTCTCTTCCCTTCGTCGCTCACCTTTCACGTGCAACTAACTAACTTAAAATTTCCTTTTTTTACGTGCATACAAAAATTTGTCATAAAAAATATGTAATTATATAAATTCGAAATAAATATTTGTAGCCCAGTGTAGTCCAGCCCGGCCCGGCCCGGGCCGTCCCTACAAATGACCATCCATTCTCATTTGTCACTTCGTTTGTACTCTTATTGTTCTTCTTTCCCAAACTGGGTGGAGCTTTTTATTTGGGTATAGACGTATAGTAACTGGAGCTTGATGCAACCCCTTTTTTTGTAAATGATCAGATCAGATAATTAACTGGATTGATGGAAATTGAGGATAGCAAATGGGTAAAGGCCCAGTATTTTAGTTCAGAAGGGAAATAAAAAAGCCCAGTGTCTCAACGCACTATCAAGTATTATCATCCCGACAGGCCACAGAGAGTAATTGAAGAAGATAGAAAATCGGTTCGACGACGTTCTTCCACATTCGAACAGATTCCAAAGGCCAAAGTTACTTTCCATAGCCACTGTCATTTGCCCATTATCGTCACTCCACTGTCCTACTCGACCTTCACTTGCTACGACTCTCCACCGGGATGGCAGAGCTACAGCCGCCGGAAGGACCGATTAACGGTGGAACAGTCGGAGCTTCATCTGAGAATCTCGTCCCATGCTTGGGTTCGAAGCGACAACGTCGACCAAGCGTCAGATTAGGCGACATAGGAGATCAACCAGCCACGCTCTCTTACGATTCACATGTCAGGCGAAGCAAGCAATGGAAACTCCCCATCGACAACGACTCCAAGTATCGACATCCATCTCAAAAGGACACAGGCGCAGCTGGTAAAGCTTCAAAGACCCGACCTTTAATGAATTTGGGGAACGGCGGCGATTGTCATGAAACCCTAGAAACCGAGGATAAGAACCTATCCGGCGATGCCAATTTGGACACGATAGCAGTAGGTAACCGAAAGGGCAAGGATTCCAAGACGAAGAGAGGAGGGGGAGGTGGTGGAGGAGGAGGAGGAGGAGGGACAAAAAGGGTGAGATCGAATTGGGTTTCCAAAGTAGATGAAGGGGCGGAAGGAGATGAGAAGTTTAGTGGTGGAGAAGACGTGGATGAAGGGTACAGGGATTTCGATCCCGAGGGTTCAGAAAGCCCTTTGAGGGAACAGAGTCCCATTCATTCTCTTGAAAACACCGCTGTTGATTTGCGCCAGACCTCGGACAGGGGACATGGAAATGAGAGAGAGGGACTTTTTCCCGTGCAAAGAAGACCACTTAGGGCTAGGGTTTCGGACAGTAGAGATCATGATGCAGTCGAATTGGATGGGCCTTCGGACACTGATGCCAGGGATTGGAAATGCGGAACGAGTGCAGATAGGAATGGCATTAGTGAGAGGGGGAGGTGCCGGTCTCTTGAAGATGGGGTGCGGATGTGGCTTAATGGCTTAGGACTAGGTCGTTATGCACCGGTTTTCGAGATACATGAGGTGGATGACGAAGTGTTGCCGCTGCTGACTTTGGAAGATCTCAAGGACATGGGGATAAATGCCGTCGGTTCAAGGCGGAAAATGTATTGTGCAATCCAAAAGCTTGCCAAGGGCTTCTCGTGAGTTCGTGAGTTTCAGTATTGGAGTATGGCGGATGTAAGTGCAAACCTTCAGTCATCGCATAAGTGAAAATATATGCCATGTCCGATATGGTTCAAACTCTTTCTTTCTCTTCTAAATTTTACTTAGTAATTTGGAATCATATGCTCTCTCTCTCTCTCTCTCTACATTGCCCTCTGTACATTTTATTGGGTGCAATTATGTGTTAGAAATATGTCCATATTGTAGCATTGCTCAAATGTTTTTCATCTAGTATTTGATGATAGTCAGTTTACAATCAGCACCCGCAAAATAGATTTTGGATTGCACAACCTAGAGGTGGAAGGGTGAGATCCTGAGGCGTGCCTTTTTAAATCACTGGTTAGTCTACTGTAGGGATTAAGGCTTGTGAAACAACTGGGCTTCCACAACCTAGAGGTGGAAAGGGATTCCCAAGTAGTCATCTCATGGACCAGAAATAGCTCCCAGATTCCTTGCGTATTCAGGCATAAATTCAGGGAGGTTGTAAGCCTAACAAGGGAACTAAATGCTTCCTTTAAGTGGGTAAGAAGAATAGCAAACGGAATGGCAGATTCTCTGGCCAAACAAGGGGCTGTGAGAAGGCAAATGTTTTGGGAAAATCTGTAATCTTTGTCGATTTTGGGTGGAAATCACACCCAGACCTTGTAACTCCTAATCTTTCATTAATAAAATTCCTTTTCTGCTGATAAAAAAAGAGTACCCAATCTGCAAACCATTTGGCTGATTTTGTAGTAAGAGGGGGGGGGGGGTGGTTTGAGAATAGAGTTAATGATGGATATGACACTGAACAGAACAGAATGGTGAAATGGGATTCATGTAGCCGACCCCATAGAATTGAGACAAGATGATGATGATGACACTGTCCATAGCCAATAACCACAAGAAAGCTTCCACCCTAGGTGGGATAGGATTACCCCAAGTGCATTTGATATCGGATCTTGCCACCTGATTACTAATAAGTACATTGTAAAAAGGGTCCATTGCAAATTGTCCATTTACATACTCCTACCATCTTGCATCTACTTCTCTTGGAGATATAACCCCTTTCTCAAGCTTATTAAGCAAAGCCAAATACTCCTTAGCTTCATTGTCCAATAAAGATCTTCTAAATTTTAGATTTGGTGCCAACAGCTGTTTTTTTTTGAAACATTTGGAATGGGGGAACTCAAAGAGTTTTCAATAAAAAACTTGCAAATGTACGAGATAACGAGGGTGCTGGAATCGCACTCATGGTTAAGAGTGCACAAGGACTTCAAAAGCACTGTTTTTGGGGATATCTTGAATGTGCATTCTATGTGAGCTTGTATTGGGGCCCAATAGAATGCCTTTTGTTTTCTTTTTTTGCTTCTCTTTTCGGTTTCTGGTTGGACAGTCCCTCACTGTAAAGCTTTGGTGATGTATACTTTGGGGTTATATCCCCCCTTATAGTGAAAGTTTATACTTCACCTCTTCTCAAAAAACCACTTTGCAAAGTTGGCTCTCTCCCCACAAAATATTTGGGGTTGCCTTTCGGTGTCAAATGTACATCCAAAGCCATCTAGAATCCAATTTTAGAAAGGATGGATCAAAAGCTGGCCACTTGGAAAGCAAGATATCTCTCTAAAGGTGGGAAGGTAACACTAATAAAGAGTGTGTTAGCCAGCCTTCCGACCTACTTCATGGCCCTCTTTCCGATCCTATCAGAGGTGGCAGAGAAATTGGAAAAGAAGATGAGGGTCTTTTTGTGGATGGGTTGGAAAGATTCTCACAAATATCACCTTGTGAATTGGAACCAGGTTTGTAAACCCCATTCCCAAGGTGGTTTGGGGATAAGACATAAAAAGACCTTCAATTTAGCATTACTGGGTAGCTGGCTTTGGAGGTTTTCTACTGAGCAGGATAACCTATGGAGAAAGATAATAGCACAAAAATATGGGCTGAATAGGAATGGGTGGGATACTGGCTCACCACATTCGACATATGGCTGTGGTTTATGGAAAGGAATATGTAAAGCTGCTACACTTTTCAGAAGATGTATCAGATATAAAATTGGAGATGGCAGAAGGATTGGATTCTGGTTAGACCCCTGGATTGGTGAAAGCACACTTAAAGAGCTGTTTCCTGATCTGTTCAATATGGCTACTGATAAGGAGGCACTGGTAGCTGACTCTTATGTGAGCGAGGAAAAACAACATTTGCTGGATTCCATCCTTTAGAATGGATTTCAATGACTGGGAGATCCAGATGGCTGAAAATCTGCTCACTACTCTCCAAAACCAGGCTTTAAACCTTCAAACTCAAGATTCAAGAGTATGGACGTGGAATAAGGCAGGAGAGTTCTCAGTCAAATCTTTTTACAACTTTCTGGTGGGAGAAGGTGAAGTTTTTCCGAGTCAGGCTATTTGGGGGACAGTGGCACCCTCAAAACTCAAGTTTTTTCTTTGGGTAACAGCTTTAGAAAAGTGCCTCTCCAAAGAAATGTTGCTGAAGAAAGGTTTCATCTGCAATGACTTGAGATGCTGTTGTTGTAATGTGGAACAGGAATCAGATAGACACTTGTTTCTGCATTGCAAGTTTGCTTCAGAAATTTGGAGCTATTTTCTGGAGGAATGGCACATATCCGGGTTGACTAAGAAAGGGAAAGTCTGCTGGTCTTCCATCTCTTTGGAAATTCTGTGGGTGGTATGGAAAGAATTAACAGAACATTTGAACACAAAGCTTCTTCTGAAGCCGAGGTCATCAATATGGCTATAGGGTTTATTAGGAGTTGGTTGTCTATTCATACTGTGCATAGTTTTCAAGGCACCAAGGCGAGGCTGGGCATTAGGGGGGCGCCTTGTTGCCTAGGCGATGGATTTTTTTATATAGAAAACATAGATCCTAGGGTAGTTCCCTAGGTACCATAGCCATATTTCCTTAATAATTTTATTCATAATTTTCATAAGAAAAGTATAGAGTTCATGTTAAAGTATAGAAAATGTATTGATTAGACAATTTTACGTTCTTCCTTACTTATTGGTTCAGGTTTTAAAGTCTTTGAGGGTTCAATACAGCATTTAGCAATGTTTGTATTGATTAAATCCTAACAAATAAGAAAATAATAAAAATAAATTAGTATATAAACACAAAAAATGAATATTTTATTTTAATAGTGCCTATTTTATAATTATAATGTCAAAAGATAAAGAATAAAAAAGTATTTAACAATACATAGTACAAAACTGCTTGGCGATTAGGCGAGCCGAGCCTCAAAGGGCGCCTTGTTGCCTAGGTGTCACCTAGGCATCGCCTTGACAACTATGATACTGTGTTTAAATATGACATGTCAGATGGTATTTTGTTGAGGATGGTCTTTTTTTGAGGTCCAACTTGTCAGCTATTTGTTCAGATTCTCATTGTACAAAGGACCTTTCACTTTGATACAATCATACTTTATCGTTTCTCAAAAAAAAAAAAAACCACTCTCTTTTCTGATTTGAATACATTAATTTATTGTATTGTCTTTCTCAGCCTGTATAATCCAGGACACAACTTGTACTGTCTTCTAACTCCACTCTAGTCATCTTCCCAAGAGCGGATTTTGAATCCCTCTCCTAAGTCCTACCTTAAACTTTGTTAAATTTAGAAATACTTTCTCAATGCACAATATGGTATTCCAAACACACACACACGCACTCCATATGTGGAAGTTACCTTTCTAGTATCCCAATCAAATCTGGCAATCTGTAACTGCATGCTATAACCCTTCTCCATGATGCTTCCTTTTAAATATCAAACCTCCATAGCAATTCCCCAAACTATGTTTTATTCATTTCTCTAATTTCTCTAAGCCCCATTCCTCCAAACTTCTTAGGCCTGCATCGTGATTTTCTCTTCCAGCCTATCATTCCATAAGAAGTCCTTTAGGAGTTTTTCAATGATTTCTGTTACATTTAACAGGAATCTTCATCAGAGAGAAATAATATATGGGCGGATTTGCTAATATAGTGCACTCTTAATAAAAGTAATTTGGCCTCCTAGATATGGATTCTTACCCTTCCAACCTGCCAGTCAATTCAATTCTTTCACCGGTTGCCATGTAGATGCTGCTGATGCTTTTGCCCTAATTCGCAAGTATGTGAAATGGAACTGGCCAATCTTGCAATCTATTGCTACTGCACATTCTTCTAACAACTCTTGTCAAATGACCCCAACCACAATCATTACACTTTTGGACAAATTTACTTTCATCCCTGGATAACATAGCAAAGTTTTTCCATATGGATCTTAATTGAAGCACCCATTCCACTGTGACTTTCAAAAAGATCAGTGTGCCATCTACATTTTGTAAATGTGTGATTATTGGCTCCTCACCTTTCCGGTTGGAAACTGTTATGATCCATTTGTCCCATGTTGGTAGTATGGGATGCTGTTGTGGGGTATATATGTGTTTGGGTTCCCTCCCTCTAATAGCTAGCTTTCAGGGGTGAGTTCTCCTAAAACACATAACAAATGGTATCAGAGCCTATACTATGCCTCCCAGTTGCAATTGTGCGGCGCAGGTGGTGACGTCAGTATTGCAGTGTTTGGCCAGGACTATGTGGACTAGTGCAAAGCCAGCCTGCGTGAGCGCCGGGACTGTAGAGCGTGGTGGAATGTTACGATCCATTTGTCCCATGTTGGTAGTATGGGATGCTGTTGTGGGGTATATATGTGTTTGGGTTCCCTCCCTCTAACAGGTAGCTTTTAGGGGTGAGTTCTCCTAAAACACATGCACAGGTCTTGGTTTGCCACAACTCTTATCAATACCCCTCTGGTTAAGCTGGACCTTGCCCTCAAGGTCAATATGGGGGAACTGTTGTTGCAGTTGTAGATAGGGTTCCCATGTTGCATCCTCTTCCGACAGCTGTGACCACACGACTAAAGCTTCTGGAACAATGTGGGAGCCTTTCTTGACCCATCTGAAATTAGTGATACGCACCGGCTCTGTTTCTAGGTTCATATCACTTGAGAATTTTGGAAGATGTGGTTGAGTTATAGCCTCTAGTTTCAAGCATGCTTTAAGAACTGAGACATGGAAGATTGGGTGCACTCTTGAATCTGGTCGGAGATC